TTATATGTTAAAAACAGTTGATTCAACATTTATTCAATTATTTATTTTGGAAAGGGGGGTGTCATATAGTAATAGTATACTTACTTAAAATTTCAACCGTTTTATTGCACGGTTGCTAAGATGCATTCATAATTGTTGAAGGGATAGAGACCTTCTAATAAGACAGATAACTTTCATCATACAGTATACTGTACGTTTGATCTCATAAAAATAGTAATACTACTCACAGTTTTCTTAAACAGTTTTCTGAGACCTCTAAGTAGTCTATTTGATGAGATCAAAAATATGATGGAAACATTACTTTCTATTTCTTTTGCAAGTTTCTTTGTAATTGTTTTTTTATTATATTTAACAAAAACATTTAAATCCAACATCAAATGCCTTATAAATTGAATAAGTTGTATCTTTTTAAGTACCATTTTAAAAATGGTTTAATATTTCAAGTCCTTAATACAGTATTTTAATTAGAATGACTTTTTTCACATGAAGAAATATTTAGAAGAAAGATAACTCCTTCATCACAGATATATTTTTTTCTTACAACCACATACAACATTGTGATTTTCTGACTTAGGAAACATCGCTCCATGATGTTTTCTAACATGAATTAAATAGGTATAATAGTAAGTATTATTTTCATATGCACCTCATATATATATTTAATGTTGTGGTATTAAATCGTTACTTTTTCTGTTCTCTGTGTTCAATTTCCTCATTTCGTGAGATGCACATAAAAATCATTTTTGAAAAAATAAGCAGCGCTTAATGCTTCAAACTATTTTCCATGTGGCTCTAATGTTATTTTTGTTTATGAAAATCAAAATTACAAATTAAAACCTTCTAAGGTGAAAGAGGGTCGGGACCCCTTTAATGAAAACACACGGTATATTACTATATGAAAAAAAAATTATATATTGTAAACAGCAAATTTCCTATCAATAGATAATTATGTTACAATAATTTTCACCAAAATACACTTTATAAATTAATCATGTTACAAAACCTGAGCATTTACAAACGTTTTGTATTTTCACATGTGATCATGAGATAGTCAAGAATATGAAACTATTCCAAGGTAAGATGCAAATCTTATACGGTACAACTTTTGATGCAGTATAAAGGTGAGAAATTATGTCTCTTTAATGATACTAATACTCTGACATGCCGAAAGGTATTTTTTAAAATTTAATCTTGGTGTTGAGTCCTGAGGGTTGTGTTATGCTGTGTTTTTGAATATTTTCCGGATGTCCTACTGCATATCCTCTTAATTCGTACTTTGGCAAGTTTGTACTGAATTCATACTTATCACTGAATGTGTAAAATTTCTAAATTTACTATCCTTGTTAGTTATAATAGTAAGTAATGATATATGGTAGTGCGACTTTGTCAAGTCCGACCTCGTTATGGTCCGACAGTGTTACAGTTTGACACTATAATAGTCCAAATTATCTATCAACGAAAAATAGGATTGGCCCGCTTAGCGAAGATCCGACGTTGAATCAATGTTGGCAATTCAACTCAATTTGAATTCAATGTTGATTCAACGTTGAAAAGTCAACGTTGAATCAATATTGTATCTAGATTTATCAACGTCTAAACCCAACTTCAACTAATATTCAACGTTTAAACAACGTTGTGTGCCTGCTGGGCTAGTATTGATCATACACGGAATGGGCAAAGAGCGCATCTGCAGTGGAAGAAGAATCTTTATTTCATTACATTGTTTTAATTTTTTCTGTAATAATTTCCTCCATGACGGATGGGGCATCCTGTTGCCATGAATATGGTGCACGAATAGCTTTTCCAATGAACTTGTACTCAAAAAGGGACTTAGCCTGGCAAATACGTTCAGCTGCGACAAGATCACCAGAGTGCATTGCCTCATTGAGTTGAAAAGCCTGCTACACTGACTTGAAATGCTCTCCAAATATGTTCAGGTCACAGGGGTAGAAGTTTGAAAGGATGTTTTGCTCCCCATCGAAGGCTACCATTTTGGGGTTGTTTTCAGTAAACTGAGTACAAACCTCGTCGCCTGGTTTATGGCTCTCGTTCTTACAGGCTGAGCAATGGGGTGCATTTTGGCACGCCTTGAAGAAATGCCCTGCCTCCCAGCAATCTGTGCAGGTGGGGGCGGCTTTTCTACGGATTGCCCACGATGGAATATTTTGCATTTGAGACCTTCACAATAACTGAAGAGTGGAAGGGCTTTGTTGGGTTCCAGAGGTTCAATATATACAAATCTGTTACCGTTTAGGACACTTAATTGTCATATTGTTATTATTAGAGTTCCTAATTTTTTTCATATTTAAGGTCGCTTTTAGGATGGACCCAAAGCTTATTAAGCATTTCATAGATGGCCGAGTCATCGAGAGATAGCGGAACACCACAGATCGTAATTTTTAATGTCTCGCTTTCGGGATGGAATCGTACACTTGAATGTGCTGATTGTTTAATCAAAGCCTTCAATGAGCATTTTGTTTCTGCTATCCTCATCGCTGACATATATCCATTCAGAGGTCACGATCTAATTGCACGAATTATACCATGTCTCCTTTACAACGCTTCACTGCTTCTAATAATGCCAAATTTGTAATCCATTCATTTGGTATAATTTTGGCAATTCGCTGTCTTTAAGATACACATGTTTCAGTAATTGTGCCATTATTAAATATAAACTCGGGGTACTACACAAGTTGCTACCGAAAATACTCCAACAGCTCAGAGAAGTTCTGCAACTTTAAGAGTTTTTTTATTATAACTCTACTGACATTTATTTTCCGTATAAAACTTAGGCAGTAAAATGTGAATTATTTCCTGGAAATCTCTGTAAATGGACTAATCCCCGTGCGGTAGTCAAATGAGCTAATCCCTTGGTTATCCGAAATCCTCTCAATTTTACTTTTGTATCGGTCTAATATGTATGTGAATGGACTATTCCCCGTGCGTTAGTCCGGAAGCTAATTCCCAGTCATTCGTTTTCCCCTGGAGCGAATGATCCCGGATGCATGCACTGGTGCATACTGTTTTTATCCTGTCTGTTTGTCTCTTTGTCTGTTAGCTTTAACCTATCACATGGCTATTGAGTGAAGGATATGGAGATAAGGAACAGTATTCAATATCAGAGTCCATAAACAATACAAAATAGGAACAGAGCAAACACGGACCATCGAAAAATCAGAGGTGGAATTAGGTGCAATTGAGGACTGAGCATCCACTACTGACAGGTCACACCCGCCGTGTGCTTCTTGTCATGATCGGAAAAAAAACGGAAAAATCCATCGTCAATTCAATGCGTAAATAATGGACTAACAATAAGTACGAAAAAAGTCAGTCACAGTTTGCCTTAATGATAAACTGTATTTGTCATTGTATCGACCATAGAATTTACGGAATGATTACTTGAAACGAAACTGCTGATATTCTTGTTTCATAAACTGTTGTCAATAATTTACCTCGTTTTAGAAATTGTTTATACCTAGAGCATGCTGTTGCGTATCAAATCAACTGAGATATATACACTCCGTATGCAGGCGATGATGGTATATTGCTGCATAAGTAAGGGAAATTGACGATAGAAAAGTTAAAGTCACCACGTTTATCATATAGCTTGGCTGTTAGATTACCATTAACGTCTTTTTCAAGTAAAATATCCAAGTATGAAACAGATGTGTCGGACTCTCTGGTATCTTTTATCTCAAGCTCACCGGATATATCATATCAAAGTAAGAATGGAAATACCATTGTTACATGTAATTGACAATACGTCGTCGATATATCTAAATATCGAGTTGAAGGCCATAGCAACTGTTTCATTTCTTTTCACGCATAAGATTTTGCACAAATTCTGCTTCATGTGAATACAAAAATGATTGGGTGGGGCTATGTACGGCTTTCATATTTAACTGGTGTATTTCTTGTGACATGACCTTTGCACAGGATTCGCATAAATTGACCTCCTGACATTGGAGTTTGACCTATTAATTTTTACAAAAAATTACCAAAATTTAATCTTGACCATTACTTTTGAATAGTCGGAGCTTGGGCTTTCATCTTTCACATGTGTATTTATATGACAAGACCATTCAGCTGGTATAAATATTTCTGACCTTTTTGACCTTAACCTAAGAATTCTTTTTTTAAAAACTTTAATCTTGGCCATAACTTTTGGACAGTTAAAAAGAGGGCTGTCATATTTCACAGGTGTATTTCATGTAACAAGACTTTCCTTTGGTTGTCGACACTTTTAACCTTTGACCTTGACCTTTGGAGTAAAAACATTACAGATCAATGTAGAGAACATTTAACAAGGATCCCCGGAAATAAGATGTCAAAGAGGAGTAAGCTATAAGATGCACTAGTCTGATTAAGCCACACCTATTGTTATGTTCTGCATCATTTTTTTGGTCTTTATAATGAGCCTAATTTTGTCGAAGTATAAAAAAATAAAAATATTATTTTTTTTAGCTAAACCATTTTAACTGCGCATATTAATTTCTTTACCACATACAATGTATCTTTGTTTTGGTCAATTTAGGTTAGTGAACAACGTGTGTGACAAAAAAGGAACAAAGCTAAATATTTAACTGATGGGCAATTATTGTATACAATAGACATTAGTCATTTATCATTTTTAATAATAAAAGATAATAAATTTAAGGATTTTAGAGGATTAGTGGAACTCAGTTTAACGTTGGTTCATGAAAGTGATTTGAGTTTGAAAAACAGATTCATGCCAAAATAGAGAAATACATGTGAAACCTCTTTTTGGACATTTATCAACGTCAAAATACATATAAATTTCCTTAATTATATTAATTTTCCTCATCCCATCCGCTTTCAAAGTCACTACACACGATTTTCTAAAGTGTTTGGTCCTAATCAGAGCTAATCATGAGTGTAATAATTTTAAAAATATGTTTCCGTAAACACTTCAGGAATAAAGCCAAAACATTGACGATAACAAAACAAGCATACAAATCGAAACTTAAAACTTTTTGTTAAATAGAATTTACATTAAAAATAGAACCGTGCATCTTTTTATAGGCATAAGGATATGTTTATCAAATTCAGATCATACTAGTTCTTTATTAATTAGTTAATATCTGTATCATATTCGAAAATTGTAGAGGCGGTTAAATGGACGGCTGGACAAGTTAAAATTAGCTTGTTGTCAACAGAGTGGAATTTCTTATCGCATTTTTCACATCTAAATCATTGCTCGGTTTTAGGGTTTTAGTATGGTTGTGACTTTCTATAAAGTATTTCAATTTTTATTTTGCTTGGATGTCGTATATACTCAGCAACAGTGTGTGGGGTAAACACAATAAATTTTAAATTTAAGAATAGATTAAAACATACCTTCATTTTCAGTTTTAATTATTTTTAACTTTCTGTTTCAGGGATAACGGCGTTGAGTGTTGTGAAGGATATATGTGGAATAATAATATAAAACAATGTATCAGTAAGTAAAAAAGAATTAAATTACTCTAAAAGAATGAAGGATGACGTTTGTATTTTATATCTTTGAAGTGAATAAATGTTCAGTTATAATTTATATTGAAAATTGAATATTTTTTAGGAGACTTATATTACACGTATTAGACATCACAATCTAGAGTTCTAAAATGAGTTAAATTACAAGATATTTTCATCAATCATCATGTTGAATATTCTTTTTAATTATGTTCGAGAAATAAAGAGAGATTTTAAATATGTAGTGATATCAATTATTAAACAATTGTTTTGTTTTTTAATGAAGAGTGCCTAATTGGTTACCTTGGGACAGCTTGTGATTTTAAATGTCCATATCCTTCATTTGGCGACAGCTGCCAAGAAAGATGCTCCTGCAACAAAACACTCTGTCACTTTGCTTTAGGATGTACATTAGGTATACTTAGAAGACACGTCACTCTATTGAACACATTACTAAAAGTAATCATATACAAAAAATGATACCAGGGGTGTAGGTAAATGTTGTATAAGCGAGAATTTGTTTTAACTTCAAATGCACCTTAGGTTAATCAAAGATGGTATAGAAAAATAATGGATATTATGAGTACATCATCTTTCATATCAGAATATTTTTTAATTCAAGTTAAAATCGAGGAATATAATTATTTTGTCAGCTATTTGTAAAGTATACATCAAGACATATAGATAAGTGTATTTTCGGAAATGTATAATATGAATTCTTTTAATGAACATTTAACCTAAATAAGAGATATATAGTAAATTATAGATAACATTCTGCTACTTCTTTTGTAATTTCAGATGCATCAAGTAGAGAAAATGTTGAAAATCATACATTAATCCATCAAATATTGACGACATTAAAACCTTTAACAAATTATTCTACGATGTATAACGTTGCAAGGGACAAAGACGAAAAATATCTGGACAAATCAACGAAAGAACTACTATTTGTTTTAGTGTGTGTTAACTCAGTAGTAGTGCTAGCTGCTGTTATTTACATCTTTAAATGCATTGTAAAAAGAGCCCAGACAACGAGAGGTAGTCATCATGCATCAAATTCCTTAAAAGATAGTGGACATGATTACGAGACAGCAGAAGATACAGAAAGAAACGTAGCTTATAACTTTATTCCTGATCAACAATACAGTACTGTTACAGTAAACATCAGCTCTCCTGATCAGGTACAGGGGGATCAGGGTTCTCCTGAGAAAAGGAGAATCGAAGAAAATATATCAGTGTTGAACTCTCAGGAAACAGGTGGTTACCTTATACCTTCTTCAATATCGTTGGCATGACAGTACTTACTTACTTAATCCTCTTCGTGCTGGTTAGCACATAAGGCCGTCACCAGAGACTTGGCATGACAGTACTAGTATTCAAAAGGTTTTTCCTTAACAGATAATGCATTGTGGACAATAAAATATTATTTTATTGCTACTTACAATAAAGGTTTACATTTATATTTTTCAATACATAAAATTTCCTTCTGTAACATTCAGGTGCTTTATTACTGTTCAAGACTGAATTGTAAATTTACATGAGAATTTATTTTCTTTTGCACAATAAAAGTTCATTAAAACACTCCTCGAATCTATGTTTTAGAATTCTGCTTTATATTTTGGGTCACTCCACTGAACTCCACTTGAACTATCATCTGATTCCTGATCTTGTTCAAAGCTTTGATTACGTTCCCTACTCATATAAGGGAAGCAATCTTGATGTGTTTTAAGGCTGTGTGTGTGTCTCATCACCCTTTCATCCCTTGGAATAACTATTCCACCACTATTTGTTGCTGATTGGTGTTTCTTTAATTTTTAAAAGGAACCATAAGAATGGCACCGTACTTCATTAGAGTAACAATTATATCGATTTCTTCAGAAATTATCGAAATTATCACTGATTATTAATTAACATTGATGTCTCCGGGGACAAAAATGTTGACATTTAAGAAATAAGATATCATTTTTAGAGTTGCATTGGGGTATGACAAGAAGTCGGTCACGTGATCAAATTCTATAACGCCCGAAGGGCGTTATAGAAGATTTGATCAAGTACCGACTTCATGTCATACCCCATTGACACTCTAAAAAATGATATTTTATTTCTTATTTTTATATTTTACGTTTTCATTCATTTTACAAACAAATATAGGCATTATTAAGACTTAGATTTTGAAATGCAACGTAACTTTGCTACGACGTTATGTGACGTCACAGTCGGAACTTTCCAAATTACACGTGCAGTTTGCTTTCCATACGCAAGAAAGTCTGATCATGTGACCGACTGCATGTCATCGAAAATTGAATTTCATTTTTTTAGTATTGTCATATAAGGAAAGACATTGGCAAATGTAAATATATGTTTTTGTGATAGGTTTACATGTTATTCATATCACAGATATTTTGGGAGTGTTTGGCGGCAGTTTAGAAAGTCTATTTCGTGCAACGAGTAGAACTGCGTGAATGCGTCTGTCTTCCCCACCAGCCAGCTCTTTCAAATTATTGACACTCATTTTATACAGTGTTAGTTTTGTTTTTCTTGTGGAAGATATTTATTTCCATGGATTCTACAATCCAATTGTTTTTAATCAAACAATATTTGTTCTGAATCATAATTATGTAAGTTGTACAAACAAAATCTTCACTGCAATTGACAATCTATTCTAAAGAATCTTAAAGTCAACTGTAAAACGTCGATATCTAAAGTATTTTATGGATTTAAAGGCAATGTTTAGGTACAAAAAGAAATTTTATTTTGCTGAGAAATAACTATTGAAAAATAATTTAATTCTGTTTGTATTCTTGTCTCTCATTGGTTGATTTCCAAAAAGGAACGCATAACATTTTGTATAATCTGGTTTGGTATGGGGACACACCCCCTTGACAACCAGCTGAATCATCTGTATCCATCAATCCCCTCATTTCCAGTCCTTCGGATTCATGAAAAATTCCAGATTTAATGAATGTACCTTTAACTTCAAACAGTTGCTCGATCTTACCTCATGTAAACAAGCATCATGGATGCTAGATCTATGTATCAGTTTTTACCTCCCCTTGCTTCCCATCACTTCCGTTACTATGGTTGTATTATTGCGCGGTAAATTTGAACTAATAAAAACAACACAATTTTACATCCCCAGTTGTTTAATTATTTTAAAATTAAATTATAAGGAATGACTCTAATTCTTGGCCAGATTATCGAGTATAATATGGTTTGGGTCAGTTTACGCTTTTTTATAATCCGCTTCGCGGATTATAAAGCGTAAACTGACCCAAACCATATTATACTCGATAATCTGGCCAAGAATTAGAGTCATTCCTTAATTAACACATGAATACATTTTACTTTTTATAATGATAAAATCTAAAATGATATTGAGGGTGGGCAACAATATTTTATTTTGTTAAAATATAACCACTTACCATTCCGCACGGAATCTTTTCAATTTTTGGAAACCATGTCTTGGCGTTGTTTGTTTGCTTTTTCTACCTATGAATCAATGGTGAAAATAAGAAGACTTAAAGAGGCAGTGACTAATAATTAAACCTTTTATGTTTATTCATAATACAATATCATAAATTAATAAATCATGCAATACGTTTTCAAAACAAAAAAGACCAATTTCATTTAAATTTAAATTAATTTTGTTTTTGAAATATTTTTACCAGGTGATTGTAGTATATTTTCTCCCGATCATTACCAAATAGCAGCAAAGATTCTTTTTCAGTTTTTTCTATAAATGATAATTTTTAAGTTATAAAATAAAATTAACACATATTATTTTCTCTTCATATATATTCTTTGAATTTCGAAATCATCACGGCTAAAACAGCCAGTAGACATAATACATACTGTACATTTTTTTTTCAGCTTTTTTCGATACATTATTATGTTTCCCAAAACAGTCACAGCGATGAAGCCAGAAAGCGCCCAAGGCAAAACCCTTATCAATAGAAATACATTTTTTGTATAAAATTTCAAATAGAAGGCATCAAAATTGATGATAATGAGTCTTAAAAATACTACCAAGGTGTTCCTTGGACCTCAACGCCATTAGAGGAAATTTGAGTTGCACCGAGATCTGATGGTGTAGAGAAATTCAATTTTTGTTCTTTTGGAGTTGTGTGCCCATTCTTTTTGTTTTGAATTACTGTATCATAGCACTCTGAAACTTAAACAAAACATTTTTAAGTCATTATTTAATCATCATGTTATTGTTCTAAAAAATAACATGTTCACTGACCCAGCTAACGCCTTTCTGTTTCTCAAAATTAAAGACATTCTTAAAGGTTTTTTGTTTGTGTCGCTCCCCTAATGCAGTTGAAAAGGATAAATATTGAAACATTTTGTGAAATATGAAAATAGAAAGGTTTTTTTTTCATGGAAAGGCTTTCAACTCTTGTTTCTCATTAAAGGAGTACTATTGTGTAAAGGAAAAAGATAATTTTTTAACCTACATTTGTATGTAACATTAGAGTGATATGAAATAGGATATTCCTTGCAGTTTCCTTTAGTATGTCTACTTCCTTGAATTGGTCTTGTTCTTCCTTTATTTAATTCTGCGCAAACCCGACCTGAAAATTATATGTAGGATAATATATGTACATTAAAGTACACCAAAATAAAAATTAAATCTTATGCTTACTTTTATAAATATACTAGGTCTCTGAAAATATCTCCCTTATAGTTTGTATTGATACATGTATGATAGGGAAAATTTATAGCGTCTGAACCTTTTTAGATTGATATCGACATAAACAATTAAGCATCCTTTTGTTTTCTCAACCAAGTTTTGTTACAATCAAATCAAAGCTGAATAGCCCAAATTCTAACTCTAACCCCTGCAGTCTAACCTTAACTCTAACCATAACAATAACCCTTGTAGCTTAATCCTAACTCTTCTGCTAACCCTAACCCTTGTAGCTTAATCCTAACTCTTCTGCTAACCCTAACCCTAACCATAACAATAACCCTTGTAGATTAATCCTAAATCTTCTGCTAACCCTAACCCTAACCCTAACCATAACCCTTGTAGCATAATCCTAACTCTTCTGCTAACCCTAACCCTAACTCCGTTCTTAACCGTAACCCTTGTAGCTAAACTCTATCTCAATTTATATCAAGTTTAATTATAATCAAATCAACGCTGAAACAGAAAGAGTACAGGTAGCATTTTGAAGCATTTCTTCTTTTTAGTGGCGTCGCCCGCGTGGCGCAGTGGTTAGAGGGTCTGCTCTAGAGTCGACGTCGCGAAGTTGGGAGTCAATCCTTACGTTGCGGTTTCGACTCCCACTGTAAGACGTGGAGACCGGTCCTTCGCATGAGACCCTATAAACCGAGGCCTCTTGTCACAGTAGGTGTTGGCACGAAAAAGAGCCATTTCTGCTCAATCGCCCGAAGTGCCGACTAAAGAAAAAAATTTGCAGCAATCCACCCGCATTGGAAGCGTCACCATATGAGTGAAAAATTCTCGAGAGGGACGATAACAGCATACAATCAATCAATCAATCAATCAATCAATCAATCACTCTTTTTAGTAGTTTAGTAGCCACTCCATATTATATTATACGCCTGATTAAGATATGTTTCACCGGGGAAAATATGTGTCAAACTTTCCGGCAACAATAAAACATAAAAATGCTAACGATGGAATAGCACTTTATTATAACCATAGGTCGGTAGGGTGAATTCTGGAAATCCAAAAATTGCACCCGAACAATCCGAAGCCTAGGAGTTAACTGTGAACAATGATTCATGTAACATATGAATAATAAAATATAACAATGGCAATTAACACAATTCTGAGCATGAGTGACATGGCTTAGATGGAATATAACTCATGACATGTTGAGTAAAGTAATTAATAATTAATTTCCAGATTCGGATTTACATAGTAATTAGCATAATTAAAGTTTCTCAAGTTGTTTAAAGTAAATACAGTAAATTAAGAGTATATTTTAAAGTCAGCTGAAACATGTCATTAAAACTGTGTTATCAAATATCACACCGTGATATATGTAAAGAACGAGTGCACTTATGGGCCCCGGTAAAACGTGAAAAAATAAACAATCAAATTAAGCAAAATTTTTCATCTCAAATCATTAATTGATATCTAAACCCTACGATTCAACAAATTTTACTGCTGAAATCCACGAATATACAAAGAACAGAACTATACAATGTGGTAGGGGTCAGTCGACATTTGTGATTTTCTATAGTTAATCGAGAACGGTCATGACGTTGCGCACGGTGTTGGTGTCAGTTTCGGTAACGTCAAAATGACGTTATTTTACGT